ATAATGAAAATAAAGTAATAACAATAGTAAAATAAATATTACCTCTACTGCTACTTATAAGAAGGATAATTTTAATACTACTATTACTACTAATAGTAATAATAATATTGAGAAAAAGATAAGGGAGAAGATGAAGGAGAATAAGGAGGAAGAGAAAAAGAAGGAAAAGAAGAAAAAGATAAAGAAGAAAAATAAAAAAAGAAGAAGAATAAGATTAGTCACATTCGGTTGCATGAAATCGCATTTTCCAACCGGCCTACGATCCTCTTGGCTTTAGTGCATCATTCTTGATGATGCTGTCCCGAAGAAACTCTGGCAAAAACATGCTAAACTTTTGTCTGTCCCACTTTTGTCTGACCACATTTAAACTAAAGAGTCAAGAAGACGTATCGCTAAATGTTGTGTATATACCACATGATTTGGCCCCTTCAAATCACATTTCAATCAAGAATTATGTGCATGTGTCTGTTTGTGTGTACGTGGAATTTGACGAGACAAACAGTGATAGCTCAAAGTATTTAATGTTCGAGCTCACTTCGAGTTCAACTGAAATTGTTTGATAGAAGGTTCAAAGGTTGATCTCACCAGAAGACGACGAGCATTATTGATAAAGCTATTTCTACGGCAATATATTTCAAGCTTTTTTCGGTCTTACGTAGGACATCATCAGAACGAACTATCATTTTTACAGCCATATTGAAGTTGGCGAAGCAAGAAAACTCACCTGCTCGTCTCTAATTGCTGTACATAAACCCTAAAGCGAATAAAGTGGTGTATTTTGTTCAAGTCGTCATACAAGAGTGTCTGTGTGTGCGCGTTTATGTGTTCGTGTATGCAGGAAATCAACAGTTGGCCATCATTTTGGGCTACCCAGACTCGCGAGCCTGAAAATGGTGACTTATTTTTCGAATTAAGTATCATTTTCGTGACTACCAGTAAATCAGTAGTATGAGATGTGTTCACCCAATTTCGTTTAAAGTGGCGAAGGACTGGTAGAAGAAAGAAATTGTGGGAAAATTCTTCTTCCACCAGTCCTTCATCACCTTTGACGAAATTGGATGAATACATCTCATATTGATGATAACTTAGCATTACAATTTCACCGGAATTAAAAAAGCTTGTTTTGGTAAAAGCAAAAGGAATCATCGGTCGTTTTCTGGTGGGACGGATCCTTGCATCTCTCCATCAGACAGACTTTCCGTCGAAATGGGGATGAGCTGAGAACATGTGAAACAGAAGAGGCCATGAAAGCCAATTTCGCTGTGCATTTCTAAAACATGACAGTCGCTGGCGGCGTCAAGACAACCCTCGAGAAGGGAAATGTACAAATCGGCGTCGCCGGATTCGGTTACCTGGCGAAGTTGGAGGCTTAGGCTGTTGGCATTTTGCCTCTTCACTTCACCGTCCTTGACGTCGGAGCCGAGATGAGCCTCGGGCGGCGTCTCTTCGTGTCGGTCCGACCGGGCGACGACGCTTCGACCCGGTCGCCTCAGTTTGGGCGGAACTGGAGGCGCAGGAGTGGCCGCCGAGCCACGAGCCTCGGATCGGTTCGAGGCGCGTTGGGGAATTGGCGGCGGCGGCGGCGGCGCAAGCGAACCACTTCGGACCGAGACAGGCCCCTCGGGCGCCGTCGACAGCGACTGGCTGAGGTTCCACTCGTCCGGCAGCAGACCGGCTCCCAACTCGTCCAACTGTCGGCCCAACAGGTCGACGCCGCCGCCGCCGCCGCCAGCATCGCCCTCTTTGACCCCGTCGGAGGACAGCGGTTCAAGGCGAACGATGTAGCCAAGTTCACGAAGCTTCAGCCAAGTTGTGTACAGCTTGACTTGGATGAGTCGGACGGAATCCTCGATAATCGGTAGATCCAAGGGCGGTCTGTTAGGTCACATTTATCGGTATTCAGCAGTAAATATCCCTTTTAGCATAATTGGTCTAGCAAATATTAAATATTTATTATTATTATTATTATTTATGTTGGCGTAACTAATCGATAAATGAATTAATTTATCCATTTATTAAAAATGAAGATAATTCCAAGCTATCCCATTACCTTAATTTAATGGATACATTAGTAAGAAAATTTAATAAATTGATAAATTAACACTCAGAAATAATCATATATTTTAGTATAATTCGTGTTTAGTTTATCAATTTGTTTATTTATTCTTTTATTGAAAAAAAACAATATATATTCAAACTTCAGTATTACTTTAAATTAATGCATAACATTATAATAAGACATCAAATTTAATCAGCCTTCTGTAGTTATTATCTCTTCTTTTATAAGTAATTTAATTTTTTTATTTAAAAATAAAATCGTAAATATCTATATTTACTATTATGCATTATCTTCACGTGTTTAACAAATCAAATAATTTATCTTTTCATTTAGTGAAAATAAAAATTCTTTAACAAGCTCTTTTGAGTTCTGCTAAAATCTTTCTTACTGATTTAGTTTCACTTCATTTTTCATTTCGGAACATCCAGTTTAAGGGGCTTTGTTATTTGGCTCCACTAAAAATCAAAGTATAGCTGCATTGCAATGCAGAACAAGTTCTAGGTTCACGATCCTACGATTCTAGCAAGTGACGGACATCGTCATTTCAAGAAACTAGCATTCACAAAAATTCGGCAAATACTCGAACTCCAGAAAAGGATGTATGCTTTTAGTAACGCACAATTCATTGCTTAAATAATGTCTGTCACGAAGGGACAGACAAAAGCTCCATACAGACTTATCCAAGTTGCAGGACGGTGAGCCGAGGACTCATTTAAACAATCCAATATTCTCGGTAGACTTTTGATGAGATCAATTCACAAATCTCTTCCGAGAAGTCTCTTCTTCCGTAAGCAAAGGCGAGTTTCACTTTTGGGATTGAACATTTCTGTGACGTGTTGCCAGAGAAGTGGAAAACTTGTGTGAAACTCCTCTTTATCCTGACTGCCATCTTGACCTCGCCGATACGCAATCATCACTACACCCGGTGGCGGCTGAACGTTTAACGCGGCAAATGTATTTCTGTTCATAATCCGAGTAAGTTGATTTCTAAACTTGCGTTAGATCCTGAATTAGGGCTGACTTCCGACTAGACTGTATGAGTTGATGAAGGTTTTCATAGTTGGCTTTTTCCACAATCAATTATAAGTGGATCTCACGTTTCCATTCAATCCCTGACTTCACCTGAATTGGTCCCATTACCATCCACAGCGAGGCTCAATGGCAGAGTGTACTTCCAAGGTTGGCCAGGCTCCTTTCAAATTGCATTTTCACAGTGGGACTGTTGGTGGAGCAAACTTATATTTGCTGTTACGATCGGCTGCACTACTTATATTCAAATTAAGTAGACTCTCAGAGTCCCGGTTGATCTTGAATAAGAGCTGTATCTTCTCTAAACTCGCTTAATCACACGACACGCCTGACTGAAGTCGCATTGTAATTAAGTGCTTTTATTGTCGATATAAGATCATTTCATGTTGACCAAGCAGTCCATCTGGGCTGCAGGGAAACTTGTGGGCGTCTGAATGTGCTGGTTGACGGTTCGAGTCCGGCGGAGAGTGCCATCGAGCCGACGATGCGAAGTACATGATGAAGCTGAAGTAATACAAGTAAACTCAATAAAGTAGACATGCTACCACGGCCTACGACACGATACGGCAACAGTTGCTTTGGCAAAATGAGCAACCAACGGACACAAAGTCGGAGTGTGTGCCAGCAGAAAGGGCCAATTTTTACCGAATCTCCGCAGACGACCAATTTCCCATAGCCGCCAGTCTACTGTCTCCGCTCAATGTGAAAACATGTGGTTGCCGAGGTCACATCAAAACCGGACGGGGTTGCCGTTCTGTCGCCATGGCGACCTCGAAGTGTATTGCCTCACTTGTCCCATCGTCAGGCTAGAGCCGGTTCGTTTCAACGAGACCGGAAGATCCGTTGAACCCGCGAGTCTGTCGGTCGGTCGGTCGGTTTAGACACACTTTCGGTGTGTTTGTACCGGACCCACGTGGGAGAGTGGAGACTGTCCGACACGACAAACGCCGTCGTGTCGGCGGCACAAGAAAATGTTTCAAAGTACACATACACAGGCACACCTACACACCTACACACCTACACACCTACAACTCTTCCCACGACTGGCTAAATGTGTCGTTAAGCCGCAGAGGCCATGCAAAACACAGCAGGAATGCCAGCTCGTCTGCTCCGTTGCTAAGCCGCTCCCGAGACAGATACACGCCTAAGCAACACGGTGCCGGTGCCTCAGAGACATTCGTGCATGTGTGCACGCGGAGGTAAGGCCGGGTGTGAGTTGTTGAGTGCGGATTTATGTGCGCATTGACCCTCATTTGCATGCAGTACAGGAGGGGCCTGTGAAGAGAAGTAAAACTTATTCAAATCGGACGCTACTACTCACAAAGATTTCAGTAGTCCGACTTCAGGAGGAACAAATGCAGAAGACACCTTTTCCCCAGAGCAACCGGTTAAGTAAAATGATGTCTTTCCATTCACTTATTTTACACATTTTCAGACGGTTGTCTGAAATCGTCCGACAAAAAGTCCAATACAGCTTCCTTCATCACGGACGGATTATGCGCCGGCCTCGATACCAGAAAAGAAGGCGTTGGTGCCTAAAAGTCGGTCCAAGTTGTACTCTTGAAACAACCGGCCCAACCTGAAGAGGCTTCACTTGCGAAACGGAGTTGTGATGAGTGGATTTGGGCAAGAATGATTAGACTAGCCACAATTGCCCGGTGGTCTGTGAACGTGTGTTTTGAGGGCGTGAAAATGGGTTTGACACGAGAAAGTTCCACAAGTGAGTTATGCAAACTTCTGAATAGGCCAGACAAATAGACCATTTCACATAGCATATATGAGTTGTATTCAGCCTATTTCGTTTAAGGTAATAAAGGTGATTTTTCATACAACGATATGAGTAGAGCTGATTTACTGGAAGTCTGGAAAACCCATCCATTTACGAAAAAAGTATTTGTCAATTGCAATAGCAAATTTATACACAATCCCGACACATAATGTGATATGAAATTCACATCTGCCCTGTAGCTCAAGGGCACTCGTGACGACTTGTCGAGATTATGTGCTCTGTTGTCATAGTTCGAGTCTCGGAAGGTGTGTCGATAGGACCAATCGAGGCGAGGTGGAAACTGCAGTCCACTCCGGCCGGGATGAGAACACCTTTGGGCCAAGTGGGGCTGTGTGAAATTCAATAGAAAATTGTGGGAAAATTCAACTACCACTCCGTCATCAGCTTAAACGAAATAGGCTGAATACAACGATGATATATGATCTATTGAAGTCTCAAAAACCCACTCATTTAAAAGACAAATTTCACATAGCCTTGCTTCCAAAAAGCTATGATCATGCCGGTTGCTTCGGGCTCGGTTAGCATTGGGGCTTGGATGGAAAAGTGAGAATTGTGAGAAACTCCAACCATCCGTCCGTCCTTACTTCAAGCGATCTGGCAGGAATGACGCCCTGGAGACTTCAAAACTGGCAAGAGCACATGCCATCGAGCCCATTCTCGAGGCATCCGAGTAAGTTTGACCCAAAAAAGGTCACGTTCTCTACAAACTACCAGATTATGTCGGCCCAACTTGGACCACATTCGGGCACCGGTACCACCCTTCGCCCTTGTATGTCGTATCACTTGCGAGGTGTGCTCAAAATGCACGTGTCAACTCCACAAGGTGATGCAATTCGCGCCAACCGTCAGTCCATACGAGGCGGTTTAGTAAACATCACATGTGAGCAAATATGTGCTCATCGCGTCGGCACCTTTTTATACCTCGTGTTTCCACTTGTCTGTGCGTATACATATGTATATATATCCGTGTGTGTATGTATGTGTGTGTGTGTGTGTTTGGACGTTAATGTGTGGCATGGCATGAGAAGACGATGATAGCTGTTGCCACAACAGTCTGGAGGGGACTTATTTGCACTCTAAAACATGCAGTTCGTTTGCTTGCCTCACATGATTTTTGCTGTACAGACCCCCATCCTCGAAACAAACTCA